CCAAAAATCCCCTTTAACGACCGACATTTCAGACACCTAGATGGGTATGGGGCATTGCAGTCTAACAAAAGAAGCCAAATGATCCCCATCCCAAATAGGTGGACCCCTACGTGGACCCCCAAGGCTTTGTTGGGCTACTGTGTAAAACCTCGAACTCAACACTATTCCTGACATTTTGAATTGAAAAAGCTTCCTGGATGGGAAGCGAAACGTCTTCATACTGTACTTGGAAACAAAATCCAGTTAATTGTTTTTAATTTTCTGTTTTGGAACAACTGTGACCTGGATGACTGAGAACCTTCACCAGTATATTGCACTTACAATATTCATCACTGTTTGGCACCATTTCACTCTTTCCTCTGAACCTGGAGCAACCGGTTTACTTAGATTTGCAATAAATCGGGGATACCCAAGATGTAGGATAAACTGGACCCACCCTTCAAAACAGACAAAAATAATTCTGCATTTGTTGGCCTCATAACAAGGAGTCTTCCTATCCAAACAGGCCTTAATGCAGCACCATGATGTAATTGCCAACGAATCTGGCCTTCAGAGGATGCAGCCGCGAATTTGAACTCAGCACCTGTGTCTAAACCAGGCAAGGTCACCGTTTGAATTTCTGAACGCTAAGTCACTTTATTTTCTGTTCATAATATGTAATTGTCTTATATTAAGGGCAAAAATATTCATACCATTAGCAGATCATCTTGTTTACCTGTTCAAATTAAGGATAAATATCAAACCATCATCAAATCAGAGAAAATTTAATTTCTCTAAAATAACTGGCTCAAGCTGTCACAGTCACTGAGTTCTTTTAAACTGTGTTAACTCTTTGCTGGTGAAGATTATCAGTCATCCAAGTCATAGTATTCCGAAAAAGTAAAAAAAAAAAAAAAACAATCCACTGGACTTTGTTTCCAAGTTTGAAGACATTGTGCTTCCCATCCAGGAAGCATTTTCAACTCAAAATGTTAGAAATAGCGTTGAGTTTGAGGCTTTATAGAGCGGACCAAAAAAAAAGCCTTGTTTTGGCTTAGAAAACATGCAAATTGAACCTGTTATTTCTAAATGGTACGGAGCCCCTCTGATGACATGGACAAAAAAAAAAGTTTAATTGTGGCCACGAAGTAGTATTTTGTGCGCACGAAGTAGTATTTCGCGGCCACGCAATAAGTATAACGTGCGCACGAAATACTTATTAATAATATCAATAAATCCGCCCCTGTTTTCAGGCTTATGTTAACTGTAATGACTTATCTTGGACAGGCTGCTATGTAAACGGGCCTTTAGTCCTTCGTTTAGCTATGCTGCGGTTGTTTACACTACGCCTTTTCCACCTAAGATGGCGTCTTAGCAACAAATGTCACGTGACTGGCGGAGACCGACTGGGTAAGCAAATCGAGCGCGCTGTTGTCCAGGAATGATATCAATATTAATAAGTATTTTGTGCGCACGTTAAACTTATTGCGTGACCACGAAATACTACTTCGTGGCCACAATTAAAAAATTTTTTTGACCATGTCATCAGAGGTGAAATGGGCCTTATAAATATATTTGACTTGTTATTAGAAGATTAAATTAGTCTACTGGAGCTGTTGTCAGTGATCAATGAAAAACAATACAAAGGAATATCTGCTTATAATACTGTGTATTTTATAGAAGGGGAAAAAGTAAAATAAACACCACAAGACACAAACCATACACAGAACCAAAAACATAAAAATAAATAAATAAAAACTGGTGACCTGAATGACTGGAAATCTTCACCAGCATATCTTACTTAGATGTTAAAAAGGAGTTTTTCCTCTCCACTGTTGCTGAATGCATGCTAGGTGTGAGGGATTGTTGTAGAGTCAAAGATACAATGCAAACAAAGTTTTACTACATGTTCATGCATGAGGAGTGTATCCTGCAAAGTCAATGACTGGGTATCTAAGTTTCCTGCATAGAAAATTTAACACCTGTGTGTTCTGCTTATTTTAAAGACATGTTTTAGGCACCTGTTAACTAGATCAGCTTTATGCATGCTATTAAACAAGTTTTTATACTCAAAATCCTCTTGCAAGTCAGGTCCTACAGTGTGTCTGGTGAAAAATAAGACTTAGTTTCAAAGGTTTTGGGTTGCAGAAAGATTTGAATTGCATAAAACAATGTTATTAGTCCGCTAATAAAATTTCCTCATATTTCAAGTGTTGCTGTAGTGTTCACCTCCCTGAAACATTAATACAGCAGTAATCCCAAAGTCAAACATGATTTTACCATAAAATCATGCAGTAGAGATGCTTTTTTCAATGGAGACAGTGCGGCTAAACAGATTTAAAGAGAAGAAACCTTCAGATATTTCTTAGCAAAAGCTTTAACACTGGGGTGGATGATCCCTTTCAACAATTTAGATCCTATCATATTCCTCTTATAGACTGCCCTAGTCAAAGTCCAGATCTAAATCAAACTGAAAATCCAGTCAAAACCTCTTTATTGAATCTGAAAGATGTTATGCTATTTTCCTAATGGGCATTATGTTGGTAGAGACATTCATAAAAAGAATAAAAATTCATAAAAAACATTACAATAAAAGTTGTTTTGAAAATATGGATTGAGAGACGCGAATCAAAACTACAGTCCATGCTATTTTTTTTTTTGTTATTAATTTCTAGTGTAATTTTTCTTCCTACTTTGCACTGCAAAAAAACGATCTAGAAATAAGTTAAGATTTCTCAAATTAAATATATTTCCTCTCAATTTGAGTAGATAAGTAAGATGATTTGCCAATGGAATGAGTATTTTTACTCTTAAAATAAGATAATTAGATAATATGAACTTGAAGTAAGACAATGTAATTGTTTTTTCTTATTTTAAATGTGAATTGTCTTGTTCCATTGGCAAAGTGTCTCACTTACCTCCTCAATTCAAGGAAAAATACACTTATTTTAAGATATAATGACCTGGTTAGATTTCAATTTTGTAGAGTGTGGATATTGATATGAATTGGTTATCCCAAAAGAAAGTATAAAGTAGTCTAAATACATGACAAATATGAAAGTGTTCATGTGCTAGCATGATGCAAATCTTGACCTATTAAAATGAAAAATGTCTTTGAAAAGTTAAATTGTTGTAATCAATAGAACTTGGACCAAACTAATGTGAGAGGGAAAAAATTCAGGCTGGAATATAGGATTAGAAAATGATTTCATTTGATTTAGTGAGATTTCATTTAGTGAGATTTTTCTGGAGTTTTTGCTGACATCTTGTTGATATCCTCTGATGGACTGGTGACCTGATGACATCATACCCCTTATTGTACGACCACTGGTGATAGGACCCAGCCTCATTGGAGCGCTGCGAGGATAAGCAGGTATAGAAAACAGATGAACAGATGGAAATCTCACTCTAGTCTACTTCCATGAAAACAAAGCTACCATAAAGACTGGAAACTGTTTACCTCTCTATAAATGAGCCATCTAGCAAATTTAAACATCAAGTAGTTATTATTCCCCGAGAGCAAATGTTTATTTAGAATGATTTCTGTCCACTAATCTGAGATAAATAATGCCATAGAAACTACATGCACCTTAATTTTCATTTGATCCATCACATTTCCATAGCGTCCAGGCCTTGGCATCATCCCAAACCAAAGGCTGATCACGCTTTATAATCTAGACACCACGCTCTCTGTCGTCTGCCTCATCAGTGATTGTTCACTCTAACATTTCCTGGTGACAACATTGTTAACTGGAGCGAGCAGTCCCAGTGTCTACAAGACAAACACCACTCAATCTGTTGACTATGTGTGCGTTTTTGAAGCCGGCTCAGTCGTCCATTGGAGGCTAAATGTATTCAATTGGCTTCACACGATTAGCGCGTGTCAACATTGAAATACTGCCACCCAGTTGACTGCTTTCCATCTCTGCCATGGTTACAGTGAAGACCGCATGTGCAAATGCACACTCATCCTTCAGTCTTTTATCATCAGGAAAAACAGATTTTCTAAAACTATCTCCTACAAAAAAAGATAAATTTGAACTTTTTCTGAAACCTTACTTGCAGCTCTTTTAAAATACTAAATATAATTTTTGAACCTTCCTGTTGTTTTCTCCTGTTATTCCTTCGCTAAGGAAAGCATTTGCTTCCCATCAGCATGCAGGTCAGACCATCACCCCGGCAGGCAAGACTCGGTGGACAATTGTCCATGATCTTTGGCTGCCTGTGTAGATGTGCAAATCCAAACGAGGTAGCTGCTTTAATGCTGTGGACTCTCTGGTCTGGACCGAGTTCCCTGAGGCCAGCTGCCACATTCTCACTGAGGCATTCGGCTGGTTTGAACTAGTTTCCTAGTGTTTTGTAGAGCTGCCTCTGGTGTAAAGAGAGAGAAAAAAAAGGGTTTGGGATTTTCTTCCAGGGCATGTAAGTTAGGTCGTTGTGAAGATGCCAGGCTTTTTGGTAAGGGCTGTTATTGATTTTATAATGCACACAGGTCCAATAGCTCAAGGTACATTGAGCAATACCTGTCTTCCATTAGGAGGACTTAACCCCCTCCCCCTCCCCTCTAAACCCTCGCCCCTCCAGCCCAGCACTCTCCACCCTTCATTGACCAATCAGCACCCAGGCTTTTAGCAGCGGTCTTGTGGGCAGCAGTGGGTAAACAGTGTCTGCCTCTCTGTTTGTCAGTGAAAGTTACCCAACCATTTATCAGCCGTCAGTAAGCATCTAGACAGCTGGGATCTGTTTATGCACTAGGAATGTTTTTTTGTTTTTTTTCCAAAATAAGATCCCCGCTCACACTTTTTGCCCCCTTCCCTTTCTGTATGATTCCAGAAGAGAAGCTTATGGTGCAATGTTGCCCTCCTGGAGGTTCACTCCCCTGAAGATGTAAAAATGCCCCCCCTCCCTTCATTGCTTCTTGGTCCCCGCCTCCCTTCCTCCCCCTCTTGCTCTGGAACGTCACTCCCCCAACTGTTCTGTACTGTAAATTCATTTTAGGGGCAAGGCGAGGGCAGATCCTGTGATGAAGAAACTCTGAAGGCAGGGAGGAGGAGTAAAACTACTGCCCTGCACAGTAAATGTTCTTGTATACTGTACAGCATTCTGCTGGTGGCTTGAGGCAGAGGCTCATTAGATCAGATCAAGCTGTCTGACCTCCTGTACCTGTACGCTGAGTGCAGCTGATCTTACCTGTGGAAGAAAAGCTGTGCAGCTTCTCACAGCTCTGTTTGCTCCTGAACTTGGAAACTGTGCCTTTCAGACGGTCCTGCTCTAAGGTAGGAGTAGATCTGATTTCATGCATTTAGTTAGTAACAGTCTAGTAGTTCAGATGGATTTTTTCCCTCATGGAATTAAGAAAAAATCTACTAAAGTATTCAGAACAATAATTTTTACCTACTATATCACTATAGGTTAAGGTCTTTTGCATTCTTTCCATTGTATCTTTTTTTTCACAATCTTTGCTTTAAAATCCTGTAAATCACTATATATGATGGGATTTTTTTTTAAAGATTTTTAGTGGCTTTGTATTGCTTTTGTTAAGCGTTATGATGTGACAAATTTCCACTTTTACCGTCTCAATACATTTTAGATAAATTAATGAACCATAAACTTTACTTATAGAGCACATATGATTATATCATCATTTTAACAAGCTTCCATAGCTCTACTTTTTTTTTTTTTTTTCTGAAGCATAAATCTGTCAACATATGTTTGGATCGTTTTCAGAAGGAATCATTCTCACTTTTCTTGACTGAAAGAAGCAAAGCAAGTTATTAACTATTTAACTTCCACATTTTCATTCCTATTCAACTGAAATCATAAATGCAGCCTGTGCAATAAATTAAAGAGGAATTTCAATTTGGAAGATAAATACATTAAAGGAGAATAATGGCCCTTTTTGGCTTCATGTTTAATTGGAGCAGCAAGCTGCTGGAATGTTTCACTCCGTTGTTTCATGAAAGCAGCTCTTTGAGTACCAAGATCTAAACCATGACCCCAAACAATAGTTGAACCGGACCCCTAGAGTCCAATCCTACAGGGTTTGGCAGCACTCCTAAAATGCACGTCATAGTTTGTAGGGTTAACATCCCTTTGAGTTCACATGTTATGTAACTCACTTTTCAACAAGTTTCAATAGAGCCAGCTGCAAGAACTCAAAATGCAAAGCAGACATAGCCTAATTAATCTGCTCCTTAACACCCAACCTAGATGCTGGTTGTTATGAATCTTTTTGCTAAATGTTAGAATACTAAACTAATAAGTATTCTTATCTGCAATCTCATTTTTGCTTTTCTTAGAGGCTTGCTCTGTGACTTTTTGCATTTGACACATACTGTTGGGTATTAAGCACTTAGGACCCACCTCTCTTCTAACCAATCACAACCAAACACCCATTGAACAGGTATTTTGTATTTTCATTATTTTCACCTGCCTACAGGTGACAACATGCTGAAGCAAGTTGTGTCGTTCAGCCGCTCCTTGGTGCGCAGGAAAGTGGTCGACATGAACAGCCTGGAGGACTCCAAGCTGTGCCGCTGCCTGGGAACCGTAGACCTCATTGCCCTAGGGGTGGGCAGCACCCTGGGGGCTGGGGTTTACGTGTTGGCTGGAGAGGTGGCCAAGGGAGACTCTGGCCCCAGCATCGTCATCTCCTTCCTCATTGCTGCCTTGGCCTCAGTCATGGCCGGCCTATGCTATGCCGAGTTTGGGGCCCGTGTCCCTAAAACTGGCTCTGCTTATCTATACAGTTATGTCACAGTAGGGGAGATCTGGGCCTTCATTACAGGCTGGAACTTAATCCTCTCATATGTCATTGGTGAGCTATAATTTATGTATCTTTTCTTTAAAGAAGAGAGCAGATCTTTATGAATTCTCACCTTTTATTTCTCTGATCAGGCACCTCCTCTGTTGCCAGAGCTTGGAGTGGCACATTTGATGACATGATAGGAGGACACATTGAGGTTTTCTGTAAAACATACTTCAGCATGAACTCTCCTGGTTTGGCTCCATATCCTGACTTCTTTGCTGTGTGCCTCATTCTGCTGCTCTCTGGTAAGAACATTGCTGATGGCTGATCATTTAAAATTCCTCTCAGTATTAGCATACAGAGGCTTCAGTAAAGGGATGATAATCAAAATCATTACAGTTTAACTCATGATCCAGACCTGGCATAATTTAATAAGAAACTGGCAGCACAGTGTGACAACAGTTTGGTAGTGTTATTCCTAGTGAGTCCAGGTTGTACAGTGAACAAACAGCACGCACAGTACTTTTATTCCTAGTGAGTCCAGGTTGTACAGTGCATTTAATGAAATAGTTTTCAAACATTTGTTCCACAACTGAGACAAACTCCGGTGCATCAACTGTCCAACAAAGTCACATTGTGTTTAAATGAACTCCATCTGTGTGTAATTTTGATTTACAGATGGAAAATGTGTGGAAGATTGACTGGTCAGATAATTACAAAGTGCAAACTTTGAGACTCAATGTAAAATGCAATGTATGCTAATAAAAAACCAAACAAGGTGACCATGAGCTCAGCCCATACTGTAACATTGTGGTAACTGCATCATGCTGTTGGGATCTCTTTGTACAAAAAACCCCAGCAAAACTGGTTACAGTTGGTCAGGAAAAATAGACAAAGTTAAAACACCAGTTCATCCTGGAAGGAAACCTTTTAAAGGCAGCAGATATTCTCAGACTTAGGCAGAAGTTGAGATTCCAGCATGACAAAAAGAAACCTCTCAACAACAAACATGGACATGTAGGCTTATTGTTAATAATTCCAATAACATACACAAAAGTTTGAGATTGCAATTTGTCAAAAATATGCTATTTAGCCTAATTGGGAACATTTATAAGGAGTTCGAGGAAGTCTCAAACCAGACATACTTTGAAACATTTGCCTCCTCCTACAAACATCTATCATGGGTTTTATCTGTCTGCCAATGAAATGATTACATTAGTTCAGTGGGACACAAAGACAGTCTTAGCAGTGTCTGGTTGTTTTTATGGGACTAGAAGAAGTCGAACTTCTGCAACTCAAATATGGTAAACAATATGCAAAAGCTCCCAGTTTCAATTTTTTGAGAAAGAAAAGGTAAAAATGTATGAATAGGTTTCATTTGTTTCGATCTGCAGCAATGTAATCACATTATCGAAAACTCTTCAAGAACTGATGGTCACATAGATAGGTTACTATTTAATTTTAATATGCTTTAACACAAACATTTCAAAGGGTGAATCAATATTTTAGTATAGTATTGTTGGCTATTTTACCACATTATTTGTCCAGCAGCATACGCTAGTATAGGGTTCCTCTACACCAGACCTCAAGATCAAGTTTCCTGCATCTTTAACATCCATCTTTGCGGGAGTGCAGATGGTGCAGTGATTAGCGTGCACAACCCATGTACGGAGACCTTAAAGCTGATTTATACTTCGAAACAAGGTCCTCTGCATAGGTGTCGCAGTCAACAAAAAGCTTCTCCGCCCTCTTCGCAGAAGCTGTGCTGCACCTCTCCCAAATTATAACTGACCGCAGACAGTGCCGCAGACAGGAGGCCAGCTTGTTTTGTTTTTATGACCCAAATTGCGGAAAACAACTTGTGAAGTTTGACCAGCTCGAAGATCGAGGCGCCCAAGAACGCTGGGACCCTTTTTCAACTTGGATCCTCGCTCTTTTTCGCCATAATGTCCCTCCGTTGTCGGACTAAACTCACCCCCACTTCCTTACCGCCTCGGCCGTATCTAGACCCACAGCGTATAACACAGACCACGATTCAATACTGGGCATAAATCAAAAATGTCTGCGTCAAGCTCACTGCGACACACTGCTGCAGGAGTATAACCAGCCCTTAAGTCCTCAAAGTAGCTGACCCGGGTTCGAATCTGACCTGTGGTCCTTTGCCGCATGTCTCTCCCCCTCTCTCATACCCCCTTTTCTTTGAGCCTACTGTCCAAAAAATGATCCACTAGTGCTGTAAAAACTCCAGCGGTGAATGCTTTGAAGGCCCTGTACACCCACCACTGTATTTGCCTAAACTTGACAGTTTTAAACAGCCTCAACATGTGAAAACCAGTTATCATATCTTTAAGAACTTTGCCCCTGCCTCTAAGAACTGTCCTTTAAAGGTTTCTGAATAGTTTGATCTACTTTTGCTCTGAAAATAGTTATAAAACATCTTTGCTGAATTAAAGCATTTTACATTAATTAATGTTTGGTCCCATGCAGGGCTCTTGTCTTTTGGAGTAAAGGAATCAGCCTGGGTCAACAAGGTCTTTACATCAATCAACGTGCTTGTGCTTTTCTTTGTCATCATTTCTGGCTTTGTCAAAGGAGACACATATAACTGGAAGATAACTGAAGAATCCCTTGTAAATATCACAATAGTCACAAGGTAAAGGATTCATTTGACACCAGTTGAATACAGTCTGTGACATATTGGTAATCCAGGAAATGTGCAACAAATATCCCAATTGTTACGAAAAGGCTGCTTATACATGTTTCAGGAACTTGTCTGTGACAGCCAACGTAAGCAGTGACTACGGTATTGGTGGCTTCATGCCCTACGGGTTCAGCGGGACACTAGCCGGAGCTGCCACCTGCTTCTATGCTTTTGTCGGATTTGACTGCATTGCAACAACAGGTAATTCCTTGATCAGCAGGCCTTGATCCATTCCAGTTTTTGTTGTACCAGCACTAGTGTTCACTTCCATTTGTGCAACAGGAGAGGAGGTGAAGAACCCCCAGAAGGCCATTCCCATCGGCATAGTGGTGTCACTCACCGTATGTTTCCTGGCGTACTTTGGCGTCTCTGCTGCACTTACCCTGATGATGCCCTATTATCTGCTGGATGAGAAGAGCCCGTTGCCCATGGCCTTTGAATATGTAGGCTGGGGGCCTGCCAAATACGTGGTTGCTGTGGGTTCATTGTGTGCCCTCTCTACCAGGTAAGTCTTTGCCATTTTTTAAAACAAAAAAAAACAAAAACAAAAAAAGACATATAGTAATTCCTAGTCTTAAATGGGGTAGTAATTTTGACTTTAAGTTTGTGGTAATAATGGCAGATGAGATTCAGTCACCAAATTTGACTGTCAATCTTTGTCTGTGTCTTTTAATTGGATTGATTCCTGTTGCTTAGCCTTCTGTGGTGGATGCATTGCTTAATCCTCTCTGTGTCTGAGGCCCCAGCATGTTTTTGTGCCAAGAACTGCTGAGCAAGTCTCAGTCTGTCTCAAAAATATATTGTGTTGTCTTTCTTTCCTGTCAGTATCAGTATTAGCAGTATCAGTGAATGTCGTTCTTCTAGTCATATCAAGATTTTCATTGGTTTTAACTCAAAATGACATTATAATCTGTATGGACTTTGTGCTTTGTGAAAGTGTTTTAATGCACAGCTTTCTTGCTTGAAGCAAATGTTTACTCACCAAGTCTTATGACGACCCATGAAAATCTATTAGAGACACATTCCTAAAAGATCCATTTGCAGAGTTTGTCTCTCTGAAGGATAGATTATAAGAATGACAATACAGACAGGATAGAAAGACATCTTTTTTTTGCTTTCATGATTCTGAAGCTTTACGATGCCTCTGTCCATTTGTGATTGTGTGTCTGGGTTGAGGGCTCATGACTAACGTGTTGGTGTTGCATGTCTCTGCTGTCTCACGCAGTCTGCTGGGCTCCATTTTCCCCATGCCTCGTGTAATCTATGCTATGGCAGAGGATGGGGTGCTTTTCAAAGCCTTAGCCCGAATCAATCCTAAGACGAAGACCCCAGTTATTGCCACTATGAGCTCCGGTGTAGTTGCAGGTGAGAGCCGGGGATCATGCAAGTGAAATGACTTAGCTTATGTGTCTCCACCAATCAATTGTGAAAGAAAGAATGGAGTCAAACAAGATGATTTAGTCATTTACTGTCCTGAAGTTGGTTCAAATTCCACTTGTTGAAAGATAATATATGGTCTGTACAGGTTTCTGTGTCTGAATATTGAGTGTTTTTCTTTCACAGTTGTGCAGGTGTCATGTTTTTTTCTCCCAGAATGCTCTTAACTTAACAATGAACCCTCTTCTCCCTAGCCTGTTGGGCTCCATGTTCCCTCTTCCACGCATTCTCTTTGCCATGGCACGAGATGGCATTCTGTTCAAATTTATGTCCAAAGTGAGTAAGCGGCAGTCGCCCGTGGCTGCCACCATGGCAGCGGGTACCACAGCCGGTAAGCTCCTGGACAAGGCTCTCACTTGTCCCTGGGTTATATCCTGGTTTTGTCTGGGTGCCCGTCTGTTTTTTCCCCTGTATTTTCTTTGTGCTCTTGAAAAGCTGGTGATGGTGACTGCATGAATTTGTGGTGTTTCCAAAGCATGTAAAATCCTGCTAATAAAGCGATAAAAATCAACCCAACAGGACCACAAGGCCAGCTGAGGTTTCATCTCCTATGGAAAGATAGTCAGATAGAATTGGATAGTAGGCAAAGTGGGTTGTTAATTAATTTAAATAAAAAGAAAAAATAATACCCCCATGAACCCCTGTAGAAAATGCTTTACAATAAAAAGCTCTATTATTTTAGCAGGGAAATCTTTAACTGTGATTTAGAAAAATCCAACTTTGAATTTGACTAAACTGGTCCATTTCAATATAGAGATCATGATAAAAGAAGGTCCATAAACAGTTTCTGGTCATTTGACCATAGGTCATTACATTTCAATGATGTAAATGTCAATATATGCATCTTCTTTTGTAAAAACCAGATGACTTCCATGTAGGGATTAGCAAATTATTATTTCCATAATGTTGGAGCAAAAAGGTTGTGAAAAACATCTTTATTTTCAATTCAAAATTCTGACTGGCAACTTTAAACTCAGCTAGAAACAGTCCAAGATATCTTGGATATATTTGCTGGATGGGTTTGTCACAGAACACAGTAAAGACTGAGCGAAATTTACTTTGACTGTACCACGGCAGCACCCTGCAGCTTGTTGCATACTCTGCAAAAACTGAGAAAGTTGTTCTTGTTCTCAAAGTGGATAGAGTAATAAAACAAATTTGTTGAGAAGCTCAGCTATGGACTGTAGCTTACATCACACTCAAAGCACACAATAGCAACACCATGGCACATGGGAGGCAATGTTTTGGATTGATGAGGCGGATGGAGTGAGCAAAATGTGGTCTATTACATAGAAGTTGTATCACACAAACAATCCCTCAAAAGATCCATCAAAGAAACCGACACGTGTGTACATTTCCACAACTGTAATAAGGTGAGGATTTATGATCCAAAACAAGGGAAAACTGTTTTTCCAACTTAACACAGCCCATTAAACTGACAAATGACACAACTGTTCTCAGAGATGCTGCAAGAAAACAGTGGTACTGTGGCCATGTGTCGAGAACAAGAAGTGTGAACCAAGACAGCATGAAAAACATCTTGCTTCTTGTGGAGAATGTAATAAGCTTAACTAAGGTGTTTGCATAGTGAAAAGCAGTAAATTAACTGGTTTTAGAGAAAAGTACCACCTTTGTCCCTTTTGCTCTGAGACCTGCTAGAATCAACAAAGGAGCAGGCAACCTAAGGCTCAACAAGATGTTTTCAGTGTCCATCTAATGTAGCCCGCTAATATTTAACAATAATAATGATAATAATAATGAATCAAACTCATGCTGGTATTTGTCAACTTAGGCAATAATGTGGTAAAGCTCACTTTAAGAGTTTGATATTTGTGGAGATTATCGTGGTGCTTATATAGAACACCTACTTCTACAGCCTTCCTGCTTATTAGGCTGCAGGTGTTCAGTACGTAGTTGCACAATGTTCTCAGGCATTAAAGCTGAGACTTACAGGGTGAATGACCTGAGGAAGAGGCTGGCAGATGTGAACGCTGAGGGAGGGGGTCTGCATATCCACAAGCCATACGCACCAAGCACCTGACAGTGACAAGCCGGAAAGCTTTTTGATGTTCTTGGTTCAGTTTGTTTTAACAAAATGTTAAAAGGGATTGCAGACATACCGATGCCTGTTTCAAACTCTGCTGCTGAGATCTACTACAATCTTCTTTGTAGTAGACTTTTTGTGCAGACTTTTTTTCAAGCCTACCGCCAGCTAAGCCAGTGCACCACACTAACACCCCCTTCCTCTATTTATTGTCCATGCTTTATCATTTCTTTTTTTTATTATTCTGCATTAGAAGTTGTAATAAGCATTGTCAAACACATAGGAACACTCATTTTATTGGGTAGTGTCTGGTTTTAACATTCTTTTGCATTAAGAACGGCCTTGATTCTTGCTGTAGATTCAGTTTTGCTGCCGGGAACATTTCTCCAACATTTTGAGCCGTGTTGACATGATTGCACCATGCAGCTGCTAAAAAATATTTCAGCTGCATGTCCCTGGTGCCGTTTTCCTGTTTCTTTGCACCCTAGAAATACCCTACCATATCAACATGTGCCAGTCTGCTGGGTTCTTCCATGTGACTGAATAACTTTTAAATTGCTTAATGTGCGTAAATGTGGAAAGACAAATAGTACTGACTGTTGTTGGTACTAATAATAATTGCACTGATTTTAACCATTTTAACCAGTGTGCGAGAAAAGAAGGGGTACAAACAATAGATGTTGCAAGTTTAACCAGTTTAGAAAGGAGCAAAGAATGCTTCTTAAGAGGCTTGTTTGATGGCTTCAAATTTAATTTAGCCCTTATGACCATAAAAACATTCATCATTTGTTTTCTTTTTGCAGCTCTGGGGTAGGCGTCCCCTGCTCCCCTCTGTTATACAGTTAATCCTTCCATGAAGCAGGATAGTTTCGGGTCCTGTTCAGATAGAAGATCAGTGGGTAGTTGTGATCCAGCTGAAGCTCGATCCTGAACTGGGAGAAGCCCTGAAGGATCTGGGTGACAGAGCCACGCCGGTGCCTTGGTTCGGCTCTATAATGAATAAAAACTCTCAGACTTGCTCTGTAAAATCACTTCCGCCATGCTTAGTTTATACCGGAAGCAGTAGATACAGTAGAAGCTCCTTTCATGTGGTGAAGAGACAGGAGTTGATCCGATTACCCGCAGTGGAATCGTGTGCAGCATGAATGCATAGTTCAGATTAGGGCAACAACAGAGCAATGTTTTAGTAACACCATCAATTATGTCCTAAATGAGCTGGATATATCTTGAAAATTTGTACAATTGGCTTCTGTCAGAGATTTCCCCCCCAAAAAGGTTTTTGCATCACATGTATTGTAGGTATTTTACTAGTTTCCACCTTTTTTTACCAGTGACTGTTAGTCTCTGCCTGGCCCAGGCTTTGATTTGCGCTCTACTTTCCCCTACTAGACTGATACACTGTGTATACAGTGTCAGTCAGTCTTGCTGGTTAGGCTGAGAAGCAAGTTTTTCAGAAGTACTTAAGGCCTCCATAACAGCAGGGGGTCCCAAGCAAACAAAATTGCCATTCTCAGCTATGATGTTTGATGCTAAGGTGTAAAAATATCTTTATCACAAACTGTTTTACATCAAATGATGCTTCATATAGAAATCAAAGCTGTTGTATTTAAAGCGTTAAAAAAAATAACCTTCCTTTTTATTTTTTTTAAAGGAAAATTCATGCATAACCTCTAATTTTGCATCTTTGGACTTATATGTTTGACTTTGCATCTGAAATAAAAAGCTTTTCCCTAATTGTTTGCAAGAACTTCTTTGTGCTAAAGACTGTCAATGCATGAACTTTTTCTATGATATCACCCTGTTGATTTGTTTTCTTCAAGGTTTTAGCCTCATTTAATTCTCTTGCTCTCCACAGCAATCATGGCTTTCTTGTTTGACCTTAAAGCCCTGGTTGACATGATGTCTATTGGAACCCTGCTGGCCTACTCCCTGGTGGCTGTTTGTGTGCTCCTTCTCAGGTGAGCACCTTCACAAATCTTTCAGCTGCCTGTATAGACTGATTTGCGCAATATTGGAAAATATCTGCCCTAATAGCCTTTTTTTTTTTTCCAAATGCCCACAAGCCAGATTACCCTGACTGCTATTGCATTACCTCAATGATGTAAGAGCTGTGAATGCTCCCATTGTATGATCATTAAGTTGTGGCAGGAGCAGGTCATTTATTTAAGTTTCTTTACTTGTTAAACATAGGGCCTACAACACAGCTCCTTTTCTGGCTCCTATTCTGGTTTAAACTGGTTCCAGTCCTTACTCGTTCTGTCAAAGCTAATATTGTGACGGCTGTTTTTCATACCTTGTGCACTTTCCCTCTGCAGTTTGTGACACAGTTGTAAACAACCTTTTTCCTTTATTGCTGCAAGATAGTATAGTTGCCATATTCCAGAGAGTATGCAAAAAAAACGTATTGTTCATACCTAGGGTATGTAACCCTGTTTTAGCAGATATATAGCTTACACCTTCACAAAACACTGCTGTGTTTTGAGCTCTTTCTCAGCTGATGGTGGGTTTACCAGACTACGGTCAGGACAGAAATCTCATCAAAATGAGGTCGACAGAATGAAGCAGGCAAAAATGACAGAAACTAAGGCATGAAAATTGAAATAAAGGAACTAGACTATTAGCATAATACAGGAATATAATCTAAAAAGAAAAATATTTACCAAGAAACTCAAATATATATTGTAGTATATAGTATTAAACAGTATGCACCAATCTGACTGTATAATCTGGTTGAATAGTCTCTGCAAAGTGCCTTGAGATGATGTGTTATGAATCGGCGCTTTATAAAGAAACTAAAATGAAACTGGACTAACAGCCTTCTGCAGTATCATAGTTACTCAAATTAATCAGCTTGCTTTGTCCACCTGTGTAACCTCAAAATCAACCAACTGTACAAACTGGGTCTATGATTTCCTGTTTAATGTTACTATGCTAGTTTTTTTTTTTCCTTTTAGTTCTGCAATATTTGTCATAGAAGCACCATAGCGCTTCAAAAAGGAAACATTTTGTTTTTTATTTTAAATGAGATCATGCAAAGAACCGGTGAGAAAGGTGAGCTTCAATGACTAAAACCACACTGTGGCGAGCTACAGTAAAAGTGTGCATTCACAGAAAAAGCCAACGGGGCAGTCTTACATAAACATATCACCAGAATGACAATGACCATTTATTTAGATGATCCACCCACGAAATAGTCCTCTATACCTTTAAGGCAATGTTGAACTTTCAGCTATTGTCCATTAAAGTGTATAATCCGTCACCACTGATTCAACAAATGTATAACCAATAAACTTTATTTCCTACTTTGCACTGTACAAAGCAGTCCTTATACCTGTTGTATGCATTTCTTCCTGGCTGTTTCACTTTGAAACTCATTCACCTTTTGAACAACTTCATTTCCCCATTTTGAGACAGTTTTGTTCTTTGTGTACTTCAGTATGTTTAATGCAACCCAAAAAAAATATAATTCCCCACTTCTTCCTCTGGGCCAAGAATGTTTAGCCTACCCATATTACATGCCAGCATAAGCACCCCTGTGTCTTTGGGAATCATGTACCATAATCTATAAAAAAAACAAAACAAAAAAAACACCACAACAGGCAGCATGTAATCCCATCAAGCATTGAAATACAACATTTCAAGAATTGAAAGATTTTTTTTATTTCTAAACTGCTAAAATGTTCTCCCAAGACTTGTGCACTTCATCTGAGAAAACAAAAAAAATAAAAAGTTAGGGCAGTATTAAAGATGTTTAGCATTTTCTAGTGTCTGTATCAACCCACCTTGGCTCCCTTTAGGTTTCTACTGTGTTCTTTGGAACAACTTGTGCTGCCCAGATCCAGGATTCTGGGGGTTCTCTGGAGCATCAGGACCATGTTCCTTCAGATAATGAATGGACTGAGAGTAGTCTCTGCCCCTCTCATGATTTCTGCTGAAGGTAGTGTAGGTGCCAGGAGGGTACTGACCAAACAGGAGCCTATAGTCAAAAGCAGGGTAAGGAAGCCTGTAAGGAAGAGGGTAGGGGAAAGGATAAGGCAACAAGCCCCCCAGGACAGGGTTTATAGGGACAGCTGGGTAGCCAGACTCCTCCGTCTCCCGCTGGTAATGGCCAAGCTCAGCTTCTTTAACGATGTTGGAAGTCTCCCCAGACTGAAGGATAGGTCCTACAGGCTGTGCAGGTGGGAGAACAGCACCAAGGTCCTCAGCATCAGTGGATGCATCCTCAAAGGAAGGAGGAGCAACAAACCAGTCTGCTAATAGAGGGAGATGGAAAAAGGAACTTCAATTTTCTTCATACATTTATGGACATTTAGCTATGCCATGTCACTGAATCATTTGAGACTGGTTACCTGTGGGGGGAGACTGAGCAGCTCCAGCCTGTTGAGAGTCAACATAATATGCTGGCATCTGGGAGCCATAATAAACAGGAGCTGCTTGGTACAACCCAGCCATGGGGTTCACATTGACAAACTCCGCTGGCGTTTGCACAAAGGTAGGGTGGCTTAGAGTTTTTACTGCAGGAGCGCTGAAGGACACATGGTCAGCTTGGAAAGGAGCCGCTACTCCCTGAGATGCTGCTTTGATGCCACTGCCTCCCTGGAGCTGTGGTCTTGGATCTAGACTCCAGATAACATTTGTTAAACATCTACCTGAATTTACTGCAAGTAGATCAGAATAATACTTCACCTTTGACAGGAAGACCACAGACATCCAGAATCAGCAAGACAACAAGGGAAGCCCTGAAACCAAGAAAAAACAAATTAGAAACAGCTTTTAAAATAAATAGACTCCAATAGTAAAAGACTCATTGCCATACCCCAGGAGGATCTGAAAAGTCATCATACTGAAGACCAACAGTAAAACAATGAGGGCAGGAGGGTTTATAAATGGAACTCAGATCACTGCTACCAATCAGAGCTTAACAAGCTAACAACACACAGCTGGTGAAGAGAGACGTCCAATAGGAGAAGCTGAAATTGTTGTGTTTAGTTTTCACTGCTTTATTTCAGACCTGCATTGATTTATTTTTAACTTGAAAAGTATGCTGTCTTCAAATTTGACAAGGAAAACAAACATGTTACGTGTTAATTAAAATTACAGTAGAGCAAAGATTAAAGTCTTGTGGTTTCATTCATGCAGCTATAATTTTAATTCTGTTCATGTTGTAACTTTTAAAAAAAAGCTTAGGCTTTTTCTAAATCTGGATCCCTGATCAAATCTCTTGATTGAATGATATACACAATCCACAAAACATCTCAACCAATCAGAAGAATAGCATCTCTGTATGGAGCACTGCCTGTCAAAACCCAACCAGTAATACTGTCTCTTAAAGTACAAAAATATGCAAAGGGCAGGAAAAAATAATGAAGGTGGAACAGTTTAAATTCAAACAAAACTACTCAACAACAACAATTCATTCAAACCCTTGGAGCTCAATATTTCTAAAGTATAAATTTCTGTCTATCAGGCCGCGGATTGTTACAAAGATGTTTGTCTATCCTTTAAAGCTTAATTTGCACTTCTGATATTCCTGCAAATAGTGTCTTTGCTAGAATTTTCAGCATTTGCTACTTCATATAGGAATAAACCTGTTAGGAACGAAAAGTGAACCCAACAGAGATCATATGTGTAACAGTAACGCATGGCTCTGTTCTGTGCAGAGCTTAGTGTTGGGACCCTTAGATCTGCACAGCTAATTGATGGTATAAGCCACCAGGTTGGACCTTTACCAAAAGACTGTTTTCCATCTGAATGCCCTCTTCATATAAATTATTTTTCATTTCTAATATAATTTAAAAAAGGATGCACCACGGTGAAGGAAGACATAGGTGTTTGCAGCTTTTTTATTGCCTAACTTCCAGGACAACACCTTTTCTTCCTTATCGTCCATTTCTCTAATCCTCTCTACACAGCAATCATTTATTAGAGGATTTTCTGTAAAACTTAGAACAATAGCCCTTTGTAAAAACACAGTCAAACACCAACAATGTCCACATATTATGATGGCCTCTATGATTATCAACTAATTTATCAACTAAAGTGCTTCACTGAAAGCTAATGTGTATTGTATTTAATGCAGGCTGATAAAAAAATACCAAAACAAACAGATAAGAAAGCACCCATAAAATTAATTTGTTTTTGATCAATGTGACCACTTACTGAACTGATGAAGCTACAAGATTAACACCAATTTTAAAACAACAAAGGATTGTGCAACTGCAGTGAAATCGTTTGGAAGTAAAGTCGTAGGTCATGATAACCTGATCAGGCAGACTGATTATACAGTAGCATATTACTCCTGCTGTGTTCGTACAGCATAACCACCTCCATTTTTTATATGGCTCAATAATTTATAACATATTTCAAATATTTTCAGTTAATAGTGCGCAAAGGGACTCTTAGGGTATGTTTTTTTTTTTGTTGCTTTAGAAACGTAATGTTTTGCTTAATATACCATAAAATTATATAACGTGCTTGAGTTCAATTCAGGTCACCTGACACGGGCTGAGGTGCAAAACACATGTTAGCTCAGTAAGTAAAAAAATTTAATTCTATAGCTTGATTACTTGTTGTCAAGAATATTAAAACCTAGAGAGGGAATAACTGACAGTTTAAAACATGGCTGTTTGTCTTGCTTGGCGTGGGCCAAGAATCGGGTACTTAATTTCAGCAGATCCTATCAGAGAAATCCCCAAGTTGTGCTAAGGTGCTAAAATCATGTTTTTACTTTTCACGGCATTGAGAACTCACTGCTGTATCAGTCTGTTGAATTGAATGAACCCATTTCTGGTAAACTCTTGACAGAATTTTCCTTTTCATAAATCAAAACCCAGACTCTACACATTTGTCCTCCAGGTACCAGCCAGAGGGAGTCCTAGAGAGGCAGCCAGGAAAAGGAGAGAAGGACTATTTATCATCTGAAGAGTCCGAATTGACCGAGTCAGAGTCCCACCTGAACATGCTGAAGGATGGTAACTCCACCCTTCAGACTGTCCTGCATCCACCCCTCTTACCTTCAGAAGAGTCATCCTTTGTGGTCAACATGTCCATTTGTGTGTTAGGTACACAGCCTTTTGTTCTCAAAATCTTTTTTGTTGTTGTTGTCATTTACTTTAGTTTGTGGTTAAGGTGGGATAACCTCTCTCTCTATTCTCCGCACCACAGTGCTGATAGTGTGCATCATCAGCTATCTCACCACCTACCATTTTAATTCAATCATTGCTTTGGAAGTGTGGATTTTGGCCTTGCTGTCTGTGTGTCTCCTAATCTTCAGCATCTGCGTTTTCATGGTCTGCAGGCAGCCTCAAACTACCAAGAAGGTCTCCTTTATGGTATGTAGAAACTTGGTTGTTATTCTAAACTTTTCTGTCCTCAAACTCACATTGGATTTGGTCAAGTATTTATCAGAACACCACATCAGACTAACAGCTCCTTCTTTTTTACCACAGGTTCCCCTTCTGCCCTTCCTGCCTATTCTGAGCATATTTGTTAATATTTACCTCATGGTTCAGCTAAGTGGAGACACCTGGATACGTTTCTCTGTCTGGATGGCTGCAGGTAAATCCCTATCAGCACATGACCACAAATTATACCTTGGTGCCATGCTTATGTTAAAGTCATAAAACTTGAGGGAGAATGATAGATGGTAAATATATTGTTGTTAAACTAGTTAAAAAAAAGGTTAAGTCGTTAAACATCTAACCCTTTGCCACATTTTGCAATGTTGTAACTGCAAACCTCAATGTATAAGGGGTTGATCTAGAGAGAACAGGGACCAGTGGGATTGACAGGAGTTGAACATTTAGCTGATTGCAGGTTTGCAAGGCCTTTGAGATATGTCCAAACCAGCAATGGATGTTCTCCACCCTCCAACCAATGACATCATTCTTCTAGAGCCAGTTTTATTGGTAGGAACAGGAATATGGTAGCTTCAGAAAACAGAATCTTGATGCATTTGAAGGCTGAATTTGTTTCGCAATCTGGATGAATAATGTCTTGGTGGAGGTAAGTGTAGTTAACCCAGCTAGGGGTTAATAAAGTGGTGGAGAATTTGGAAAATCCCAGAAAACACTGTAATGGTTACAGATGTAGGGTGTCTCCCATCCCAGAACAGCTCCTATGCAGTTTTGGAGGAGCCAGAGGACTTGGTGGAGATCTTTGTTGTCAAGGTCAAGAAACACAAGGACATTAAAGAAATCTTGGAGAAGGCTTGAAACACAGGTGGAGCATTGCAGAGACCAAAGAGCGTGACTAGATGTTTAAAATTACCAATAGGGGTTTTTAAGGCTGTTTTCTAATCATCTCCTTGGTGTATATGGAGGAGGTGGTAAGCATTTCGGAGGTCCAGCTTGGTGAAAATTCAGGTGTTGCTGCTGAGCTTACAAGATGGGGTCATGGCTCTTGATGGTAATTTGGTTGAGTCCTCTGTAGTCCATAAAAAGGTGGAGAGATCCGTCTTTCTTGAACAGAAAGAAGTCCACCCCCAGTGGAGAGGAGGATGGGCAGATGGGCTCATTAGTATGTCTCCATCAACTTTTTTTTTAATTTGGAAATGTTATAGAGTCAATTGGACAGTAGAGGGCACCAGGCAATAAGTCAGTGGTGCAGTCATTGAGACAATGAGGTGGTAGAGAGTGGGCCTTGTCTTTAGTGAAAACTTGTATCAAGTCATAATATTCTTTAGTGATGGGCTAAGATCGAAAGACTCGATTGAGGAATTGCCTTTAGGGGTCGTGCCAGGAGCAATGGCATCTTGGAGGCAGGAGGAATGGCAGTCAAGGGACCAGGACTTGATGCTATCGAAAAACATTTTATCCGGAAATTGTGAGCCTTTAACCAGATGTATCCTGGAACTAATATGGGTTAACAAAAGGAGAAGATGTAGAATACTAGTTCTTCAGTACAGTTACTAGAAATAATGAGTCGAATAGTATGGGTTAAATAAGTGAATTGATATAATGAACATCCTTAAAGGGAAGTGGCATGGAGTGAAGTCTGGAATGGTGCTGTTTCAATTCTAAAGTGTTGGACAAGAGACTGTGCAATGACTGTTCCCATCTGGAGTCAATAAGCATTCCAAGTTGAAGAGACTCATAGCTAAACAGGAGGTTGGTAGGAAGAAGTAGTCAGGGAAGAGCTGGCTGATGGTCCCACTGTGGGCACAGTGGGACCTTCTCCTGATTTCTTAGAGGACAGGTGGGTGGCTTTTTCTTTATTTCTTTGTGGGGGTGGGTGTCACCCCTCTGCATTGACAGCATCTCTCAGCCTGAATATTCATTCAAAGCAAGAGCAGACATAATTTTTCTTCCTAAATGCAGTGGAAGTTATATTCAGTCCCCCAGGTTCTGTGGTTCTTATGATTTAAAAGACTACCTTTATCTGCCTTAAATAGGGAAAGTATAAATGCATGGATAAAGAATGAAAGTATTGATTGTTTTTTTGGCTTTAGACCATTCTTACCTTGGGAATACACAATTATGTTATTTTACTCAAACGGATGAAACTGTACTTACGACCGAAAGGAGATTATTCTTCTTTTGAGAATTGTCAGAGGGGTTCTCTAATCCTTGCTGACACTGGAAGGTAATGACTGGATAAACTGGGAAACATCTTTAGGGTGTGTATTTGCCTCCCTGTTTGGCTGCATGGAGAAGAGGAATCAGCTTGTAAAATAGCTCCAATATATCTGTGTGAAGGTCAAATAACTGTTATCTGGATCAAAAGTTCAATATCTTCATTTATTCTTTGAAGGTGAATATATCTGGAATAGGGAAGCAGGAGGTTTGAAGCATTCAGTCTCAGTGGATAAGCTGACCAACCTTTCTCTCTATCTAGATCACAAAGGTTTGGGGTCAGAAAGCTATTACCAGTGCATCTAGGTGGAAGTTAAAGGTCTGACTTTACGCCCCACACCATGTCACACGTTCAGAAAAGAAATCTGCTAACAAGAAAATAGAGTGGGCCAGAATAAATAGAATAACCACAGCTCATTGACATCGATAAAACAGCCAGTCTGCTCTGATCTTGCACGGTTCATCTTTGCATGACAAAAGCCACATTTACACTAGCCTTTTGAAACCAAACCGAGGACGGTCTGAGCATGGTAACCTTAGACTTTTAGACTTAGACTACTTTTAATGTCATTTTGTAAACAGAGTGTATACAAAAGAAATTTCGTCTTGTACTATTCTCACGTCAACCAACATAACTGTTGAGTGTAAATTTAACACAACTGAACTGGACCGTGCCAGACATTACCAAACCGTGCTAAATCTAGCACATGTTCAACAGTAGGGCTAAGCACAGTTGAGTTGTGGCTCAGTTCTCTGATAACAAAGAGTGCATGAGCAGGCTGTGCAATCTCCTATTTACAGTTAGCGGATTTTCAGAGTGTCCGGTTTTGCAATTCACAGATCTCTTCACCTGTTCACAACACCAACTTCTTCTCAGCTTATTAACAATAAATGGCATAAAAGCGTGGTAAGACTTGGGATAATGTAGAGACTGAATCTGGCTCAAGATTGTTGAAATCTAATGCAGCTTTCTAGCTTGCAGTTTCAAACCCATGAAAAATACATGTTGCAGGGCTTTTAGAACTTTGATATCCATTTTCTGAGACTGCTTTGCTAAAACAGGTGAGGGTCATCTAATTATGAAAAGTCAAGAGAATGGACAAAGAAGATGCGTCTTTAATGTCTATAAGGATGGACTTATATGAATTTTAACTGGAAGGATGTTTCTTAGGTTTCCATGCTCTGTTTCACTTTTTTCATGTGTTCAGTACTTGTTCTATTTAACAAAATATTTTAAGTTATATAATATTTAAATTATTCAAATACTTGTAAATACATTGGAACCTTGACTAAACATATATAGCTCCTTTTCTGTACCTCATTTTTGAACTTCTTTTGCAGGCTTCTTGATCTACTTTGGTTATGGCATTTGGCACAGCACCGAGCGACAGCGCCACTGTCAAGGTGCGCAGAACAGTAACCACACCAACCAGCAAAACATGAAGACCATCCAGGACAAGCAGGGCGAAATGGGATCCTCCTCTGCGAAGGAGCAGGAGTGCTTCATCAGCCCTGATAAAACCAGCCAGTGTTAAAGTTTCCAAAGTGTTTGAGTAACTCCAAGAGGCAGCTGATACAAGAAAGCACTCAGCGGCTTCAGCCTCAATGCGCCTGTACATATGGTTCGACATGTGTACAAATCTCACTAGCACCTTTGGTCTGCAAATGCAGTGTCAGTATTCTGTATCAGTACCAGCATGATGAGAAATTGCTCTGTCCCTGTGACTGGACCACAGTGCAGTAGTTCCCATGGGGCCTTTGTGCACAGGCTTGGAGGAATAAAGGACAGGTAACACACTGGAGAGCAGAAGCAAAGATATGTGGCTTCATGAGGGACTGGAGTTTTGATTGCAGAAAACATCTTATAGTCCTCCTGTGATACAACCAAACACACGCACACACACACATATATGTATGTATATAAAAACACATTTGTCTGGACTCTTCCATTTTTTTTCACAAATGAATTTAATTATATTTTTTGATGACCTCATAGAACGTAAACTTGTGCCTTTCTAATGTCTGTAGAAAACAAGACTTTACACACCTTGACCTACAGTGGATATCATTATGCTAAAAAATGTCAATTAAATTGTCGAAATGAGAACCTGACAAAACATTTCAAGGCTTTCTACACTTTTACGCCGACATATCTGGTATAGTTTCTGCAAAAAAAAAAAAATCAATTAATAAAAGCATTAAAAAAATCTGTGAGAGAAAATAAACCTACAATAGCTTATTACCTGAAGCTTTACACCCTTATTAGTTCCCATGTGCCAATTTTATTTAATTTCTACTGATTTCATTATTTTGCATCCGGCTACTCAGCCATAATTTGTGGAAGGGTTAGGTTGGATTGAAAAGATCTTTTTGTATGAAGGTATCAGTCAGTAGTGTGGTTCTAGAAGTTTATATTTATCCAAATACTTCACAATCAGTAGAGACAATAAACACAAAAATGTCAAACCAGTCTGTGTATCTGCCAACATGCCTTCAGTCTGAAACAGAAGAAAAACCTTCTCCAGTTCTGAATTCTGAAATTTGAGAAACAATATTTAACAATATGTTGTTTTCTTTTAAAGAAAACATCCAGTCTGCTAACATGTTACAAAGCTGCATGTAAATATTGGTGTGATAAAACCAGCCCCAAACGTTTAGGGTAAAACCTCCAAAAGTTAACTTTTGGTACAAAAAGTAATACTGAACATCATCAAATCTGCAGCAGTACATGGTAGTGGCAGCATCATGCTATGGGGTTTTAATTTCTCTCATTGGAACTGCAATTGCTTATCCAAGTACTTTAAGTTTTGAACAATTTTAAATACCAGTCCATACTGATTGTTAACCTCTAGGTGTCTGCTATAAAGTTTAATACTAAGGGGGGGTTCATTCTACATACATGAACTTATGTGGTCTACATCCGCATTAACAAAATTCTGACTGCACCACAAGATTGACAAAGATTTGGATTAGCCAAATCATGTCCATGATCCAAATCTGACAGGGAATGGTTAGAATCACCAAAATCTTGAAGAAATCTGCAAGTCACATGATGAAGGAACATGATTCCTGATCAGGCTGATGGATACCGATGGACTCAAGACCGAATACTAAAATTATTCGGCCAAGGATGTTTACCTTATGTATCAAAGTTGCATCTTATTTTAGGTTTCACTCTTTCCACTAGTCTCTCACATTTGCTTTTCTGCTAAATTGTAGAGGGATAAAAGTTTAGAACGTCGAGATCCAAGTCTCATGTTTGAATCTATGGTATGTTGTCACTCTTAAGGAGCCACCTGTAGACACAGGTAGTTAGCTTTGCTAGTTGAAGTACTGGAGGAAAATGATTATATTTGAGATGACCCAGTTTAAATCTTCCCTGTAGTCCCTAAAAGCCCCTCTAGCTGTGATCTTATGAAGCACAAATTGACTCATTTTATTATGTTTGTTGTGTTGACTATGAACTGTTAAGTTTGGAAATAAGGAAATATGGATATGGGCTAAGATGTAAAACCTTCATGAAAATGTTTTACAGCATATTCTGTTTTTAATACTGTCCTGGTATGACTAATT